AAAAAAAGTAAATAAACATTGGGAACAATATGAAACGGTGTAAGTCACACCACTACCGTTTCATAAAAATATCCTTCATGACAAGTCATTCTGATTTACACACTGCGTTGTAGTAACATATTCATCCCCCACTCATGGAAACACTTTTCTAACTTTTTTATATTTTACAATTTTTTATCTACATAATTAATCAAAGATTAAAACAATCGAATTCAGGAGTAATCATCGCTTTCGTGCAATGTGACGTCACAATTGTGGAACACAAAACACATTCTTCACACCTTTGCTGATCACATCTGGATGTAGAATACCGTAGTCAGCCGAGGTGAACCGAATGCGGAAACACCAAGTTTTGTTGCAGGGCGAACATGACGGTCACGTGATTGCCTCAGCCAATCATATTCCTCTTTACTTGTGATTATTCATATGAGGTATAAAAGTATTATTTATTGACTAAATCTTGATTATATCTTGTATAAAGTACCATTGTTAAGCAAGTCCGCACATGTACATTTAACACTCCGCATTTTATTTTGTTTATAGCAGAGACATCATCATTTTTTTGTATATAGCAACGTCATCCGCCTTTCTTACTACAATGGATAAATTCATATGCTTGATTGTTCTGATACACCGTCACAGGTCGAAACCGGTCAACAAAATAAATTTACTGCTGCATTCTCACAAAGTATTGGTCACTGTTTTATACTTTAAAATATATCAGTACAGTTTATAAGTTTTTGAATTTCATAACAATTCTATTCCACTCAGCTGCAGTGAGATTATCATATAGTTACGAACAGTTTATATTTACACACTGGTTACATGTATTTGAATTTCCTCACTTTACCACTGTACCACTCTGCCACAAAGAGGTTGTCTCTGGTGTCTACACATAAACCCCATGGATAGGCTAGATAACAGTTAACAATGTTACAGAGGAACTGTCCGTCCTGATCTAGGATGTGGATACAGTCGTTGTCATAGTCTGATGTCAGGATCTGACTCTGACTGTCTGTTGTGATGCCATATGGATAGAATGATCGCCAGGTAGTAGAGGGATGACCAGTGTATCTAAATTGGAGTTTTCCTGCATGATTAACCACCACTACTGCATTGGCTTCCCAGTCAGCTACACAGATATCCAGGATCCTGTTCTCTGTGATGTATTTCATGTCACTAGATGAATACAGAGGTTTACCTTCATTATCAAACTGAATGGTTTGCTTCTCTGTGGAGCCAGAGTACCGGACAACTTTTGATTGTTTATAATCATCACTGTCCATGATAACCAGGATGTCACCAGAGGAGGACTACAGACATACCAAGGTATCCCCCCCTGTAGTCTGATCACTTTCTGTATCTGGTCATTGTTCACTATGTTTACAGTTCTTGTAACAGGGTTAGTATAAACTAGAACTCCACTCCTTGTCACTGCTATGTCACATGGTGTGTTCCCTGACTTGGTTTGGATTGACTTCAGTAGTTTGCCTTGGAGGTTGAAGAGTTTCATGATTTTGTGAGACCCACATGTCCAGAATTCTTCATCAATGAGACAGGTAATACTCTTTAGATTTTCATACCCAGTGTCTATGGTGGTGATAAGCTCTGGTTTATCAAGCAGTGGTTTGACTGGAGGACAGGATACAGCTTCTGGTGTCTTCATTATGTAGCCATGTTCTGTTGTAATGGATAATGCTGACAGAGAACAAAATTTGATGGAGCTTCTCTCTGTTGATTTGATGTGGAGAGAAACTTGGTATAGAAACATTGACTTTAGGAGATAATCTTCAAAATTCGACATTCCTGGATTTATATGCAGATGTTAGGGAGACATCATTTAGAGTCCAGTATTTTCTTCAGATCAACTATGCACTGTGTTACTTCAGAAATAATCTGTTTGATTTCATTTTCCTGTTTATTTAGAGCGGCCAGATGTTTAGTTTTCATCCCATCAATTTCAAATTTCTGTTTGTTGACAATGATGTTAATTTCTCTGTCCAGTCTTCTCCTTGTTTGGTAACAGCTGTTGTCAGTTTATAATAATGTTTTTCCAAGTTAATTTTACGGGTTCAACTCTAATTTAATTTCTTCGTATGTAGGATAGATTTTTTCCTCTAGTTCTTTTAAGTCGTTTTCTAAATCTTTTGTTTTAGAACTTAGTTTTTGTAGAGCATCTGATAAATCGTGCCTTTATGTTTCCCAGAGGAGATGCAGGTAGAACAGACAGGAATGTCACATTTTTCACAGTAAAGTTCACAATGTTTCTGGGTGTGGTTTGGACATTTTGGGTAGTCAGGAGAAGTTCTGTGTTTGTATGGTACAACATTGTGTCTTTTAGATGAATCAGAGAGATGCTCCCCTACACAGGCCTTACACAGGTTAATCTGACAAAGTTCACAATGACTCTGTAATGCTGCTTTTTGACACAGGTCACAAAGGAGGAGAACTTTAGCTGGTCCAGGGGGTCCATCACTGGGGTTTTGATTCAATTCATTAAAATGATACCCTGTAATAAAATTAAAAGGAAAATTTAGATTACATGATTACAGGAGCTTCAATTCTGCACAAAACATATATTAGAGAAATTTTCGTATTTGAAATTCTGAGACACCAGTTAATCATACAATTTGAAAATAAAGTAGGCAAATAATTATATTGATCAGTATTTACAGTGAAACAAATATTCTGTACAGTTATCTTATTTGAAAATTTTTATCTAAAAAAAAAAATGACATTAAATCATATTTCGTTGTAATTAATATCAAGGCAATCACTGTACAATTAATGTACCAATAATATATTGGTACACTAATTGCATGTACAGTAGATTGCCTTGATATTAAATCAAGCAATTACTACACTTGAGATCATCAAGACAATCGAGTAAAATCTTTTGATGTTATATATATATGCTACATATTATCTTATCTTGAACTGTATCTTATAGAAATCTACTAAACTTTATGTTGTCTTACCTGTAAATCCAACATGGCCTCCCTGATATTCCTGTAGATAACAATTTACTTCCTGGTCTTATTCTATAAATATTTACCTGGTCACCGGGTCATGTGATTTAAATGCCTGAAATATCTATGTGTAGAGAAGTTTATAATTAGATTAAAATTATTGGTTAAGAATAAAATATGTGCATCTGTCTGTACCATATACATAACAAATTTTTGTTGCATTTTTCTCAGCAACTACTTATTGCAGACGCATAAAAATAATAAACACTCTTTGTTTACAGTAAGTTATCATGCCTTAAGGTGGGATTCATTAGCCCAGTTCCCATGAGATACAGTACTCTGCTTCATCAGAGATGTTCTTTTAAGCTCCTTACATTAAACTAATTAATTTCTCTCTAATTTGACATGCAATTTTAAATCTGTTATCAAATTCTCCTTGACCAGTGATTGATAATTACTGTATATCCATGGGAGATTTTGAGGTAGATTTCCTCTTATAAATTACATAAAGTATATACATGTACCGGTAATGAAATAAATTATTATTTTCTTAACAACATTTTTAAAAGGGATACTGCAACACTCTTACATTTTTGGGGATTCTGTTATTCAATAGAAAAAGACAATTAAAAAAAATCACTTAAATTAAAGGTCACGGTGACCTTAAAATAATCTGTGACACACCATCTACCCAAGATACATAAATTGGCCAAGTTTGAAGATTGTAAATCCAATAGTTTTCTAGTTATGAGCCAACAAAACCACAAAATAAAAAATGTGTGTAAATGCAGAGAAATATCCAATCATGATGAAACAAGGTGCACACCTTCACATGGTGAATAATAAATGTACAAATTTTCAGACTACTCCTTCCAATAGTTTATGAGAAATGGTTCGGACAAAATCTTGTCTACTGACAGACGGACAGCTAGACAGACGGACAAGCTGATTTCAAAATACCCCCCTAAACTTGGTTTGCAAGGGGATAAAAAAATTGAAATTCAAGTGGAAGAAATTCAGCACAGTTTTGACTCCAAAGCTGAAACAAGCTTTATATAAAGAGGTGTTTGTTGGGACTAAAAATGGCATGCTTTTCTAAAATTTCGTTTTATGATTTAGTTTCAGGTTACTGAAAACAATGTATGTAATTTAATTGGCTTAGGCAAACTTCTATGTGGCCAATTGAAAAGACATTACTAACACTGTCAAACACAGTCTATTTGGTTGAAGGCTTATGTGGAAAGGATCAGAAATTCTTGATTGGGGAAATTGGTTCCATGGAACTGGTCTTTATCTCAATAACTAAAATCATAGTTTGATATTTAGTATGTCATTATACATATGTATCCCTTAATTGTTGCAGAGCTCTTTGAATTGTTTTTAGTTGAAATACTAGCTGGTGCGACTATATTTATTGAAAAAAAAAAAGTTATCTAAAAGAGATCTTTTATTTGTTAACATATTTGAAGTGGTTAAACAATGGGCTATGGAATTACTCTATCATAGCTTTCAAGTCTTTCAGAGTTTCAGATTTACAGTGTACGTACTGGGTATCAATAACAGGGGGATTTATATTCTTTTCAATAATTTTTAATCAAAAAAATATATTCAGATAAAACATGCGACAATATCAATAATCAGACATAAATAACTAGTGTAATTGTAACGGGAACCGTTACAGATGTTCCCAAACGCTCCCCAACTCCCTTTTTTGGGGCCATATTCCCTGTAAGCTTCATTAAAAAAGACAATCTATGCATTTTAGACTTTAACAACGTTTTCCCAGAAGGATATCAATTATATTCAAATTTTAGCATCGCATGTAAATGCATGTGCTTATGACCATATCATCTTGTCTACACTATATATATATATATATGATATACTATATATTAAAGCATTCAGTCCAAAAGTATAAAAAAAAAACACTCATTTAAGTGTATTTTAATTTCACCTGTTCCCAATGCACGCACGTGCGTGCACGTGCATGATGACCATACCTTCTTGTAGGAGTTTTTTTTTATATTTATCTATGTTCTAAATCCCATCCTGTTTGGTTGAAAAACAAGGGAGTTATAGCCATTTCAAGTTTCAGCCAATCAGATTGCAGCAAACGTGCATCCGCGTGATTTCATGAATTTTTTTTTATATCATATTGTAGGATATCCTAATGCGTGACTATGTTTTAAAATTCAAAGCATGTCGTCAAAAACAAAGGAGATATAGCCATTTAAAATTTCAGCCAATCAGATTGCAGCACACGTGCATGCGCGTTATTTCTTGAAATGTTTTGTATATCATATTACATGATATCCTAATGTATGACTATGTTTTAAATTTCAAATTATTTCGTCAAGAAACAAAGGAGATATAGCCTTTTAAAGTTTCAGCCAATCAGATTGCAGCACACGTGCATGCACGTTATTTCTTGAAATGTTTTGTATTCATATTACAGTATATCCTAATGTATGACTATTTTCTAAATTTCAAAGCATTTCGTCAAGAAACAAAGGAGATATAGCCTTTTAAAGTTTCAGCCAATCAGATTGAAGCACACGTGCATGCGCGTGATTTCTTGAAAAGTTTTGTATATCATATTACAGGATATCCTAATGTACGATTATGTTTTAAATTTCAAAGTATTTCATCAAGAAACAAAGGAGATATAACCTTTTAAAATTTCAGCCAATCAGATTGCAGCACACGTGCATGCGCGTGATTTCATAATTTTTTTTCCATATCATATTGTAGCATATCCTAATTCATGACTATATTTAAAATTTCAAAGGATTTCGTCAAAAAACAAAAGAGATATTGAGATTTTTGTTTCAGCCAATCAGAGCAAAGCGCACGTGCATGCGCGTGAGTTCCTCCTAATTTGACAGTGTCATATTATTGACACTACTAATATATACTTATGTAATGAGTTTGATAGCATTTCATCAAAAGATGTAAAAGTTATGGCCATATTAAGTATATCAGTCATTTCACTCATTGCACGCGCACGCACGTGCATGCGTGTGCGCGCAAAATGACCTTCGTTCCGCACACCTACACTACACACCTATTAACCCTAAAAAGGTTTTAGCTCAGTTGGGTGAACAGTTTCTGAGAACACTCGCGGACAAAAAAAGTCCCGGAGAACAAATAAAAAAAAAATAATAATAATAATAATAAGAAACAGAGTAAAATCAATATGTTCCCAAACTCGTTTGGGGACATAATTAAAAGGGCTTCTACTGATTCTGAAGATTAAGATTATTCTTATTATTAGGGCTTCGTCTCCAGCGGAAGACCCTTCTATTATTCTGTTGTTTCTTTTTCACTTTTATTAGGGCCTTTCGTCTTCAGCGGAAGACCCTTCTATTATTCTTATGTTTCTTTTTTACCTTTATAGGGCCTTCCGTCTTCAGCGGAAGACCTTTCTATTATTCTTCGGTTTCTTTTTCACTTTTATTATTATTAAGGTCTTCCGACTTTCCTTCGGAAGACCTTACTGTTTTCTTATGTTTCCTATTATTATTATTATTCCCTTTTCATAGTACACGCGATTTCTCGGAAACTACTGAACCGATTTCAAAGATTTTTTCAGGAATGATGCATTGTTATAATATCTCCAGATCTTTTTCTTATTTTTTGAAAATCACTTCCGGTACATTTTTTGTCCGATTTTCTATTTTTAAATTGCCATTTTGTGCAAGCATCTTCTTCATAACCACTCAAGATTGAATACGATATTTCCGGGGATGATAAAACATCACTTAAAGTTATGCATGGCGTCGTTTGATTTCGCATCCGTCACTTCCGGTCAAAAAGGGAAAAAGTGATATTAAAT